ATTAGCTGGCACAAGACCAAAACAAATTGCAAAATATTAACAAAAAATTGCTCCAGAAAAATCAAGGGAATATGGGGGTCCATTTCAAAAAAGAATGTGGTAGATCAAGAACTTTGGGAACCTTTGAGAGCTGCTAACAATGCTAACACACGGGATGGCTACCAAGTAGTTTATCCTCAGAGCCCCGCCACAGAGTATCCCATTGGTTCAAACACAGAATATTTGCCTTATAGCAATCCAAGTTTATCATATGTATGGAATCCCTTCCCAAATTCCTATATTTCCCATGACTGCAACACTCCTTTCGTAGATGATGAAGATTGAGAAAACTTAGACTCACTGTCTGGAAATCCTCCAAAATCTGGGGGTCTGTATCATACTGATTTCGAGGAGATGCAAGTCGGTTTTTGAACTTCATCTTCCTGCTATCCAAGTATTGAATGTATCCATAGTTCACCTTCTTGCTTTCCAAATATCCGAAGTTGATCTTTGGTTTATGTAAGGATTGATTCCATAAATCCTTCATAGAATTTGGAATCAGATGAAATACTATATTCATACTCGGGATAAGGAAATAGTTGTGGTTGGTGATCCGGGCGGTAATATGGTTTGGGACTTAAAAGGGAGGATGGACAAGGGATGCTTTATATTTAGATGCTTGATTTAATATTTAATAAATTTTATATTTTTAAACAAGAATTTCTCTTTTGTAATACTTAACAGCTCTAGCTAGGATATGAGGATCGCTACTCGGGTATGATCGCTATCACTTTGTGCTAAATACAACCGCTTTTTCATTTTGGGTGAAAAATGTTGAAATAAATTAGTTAAGCCAATACTTTATCAACAAAGTACTTTACCAATACAGCTTCACCCTTTTCAAGTGGAAGTGGTCTATCGTCCTTATCATGATAAGGTCCATGGTGATAGTTCAACAACTTGTCCTTCCTCAATTCCTTCAATTCTGGACACAGTGACCAAAAGTGTTCTTTGCCACAAACATTGCAGACTTTGGGGGGTTTGACTCTTGTTTGAGTTAGAACTAGTAGCAGTTGTAGTAGTAGTAATAGACGAGTTTGAATTGTTTGACCTTCTCTTCTTCTTAGTAACTTCATCTTTGAAATCCAAAATAACAGAATCTTCCATCAATTTCTCACTGAATAAATTCCAAAATTTGATATAACTACCCTTACTTCTTCTGTGACGTCTCTTGTTGTAACCTTTGACTTGTAAATCGAAAGCCTTTTCAATATTTGAGTCAGAAGCATTCTTCTCAGGTTTTCCTGTTCTGGTAATAATAACTCTAACTTCGTCGTCAATACCTTCAAGGACTTCAGTCATGGTAAGTGGAACCTTCATGAATAATCCTCTCCAGATTCTTACCCATAATACGCTAGTCACGTTAGATAACTCACAATTCATGGATGTCCCCATTAACAATAGCCATAGTCACATTCAAGTCTTCACTGTCACTTAATCTGTCTCTAATTCTTTGTAAAGGATCATTTGTAACTTCAGGGACAAGTTTTTGAGCTTGATCTAAAATAACCTTGTACTTGATACCAACGGTAGGGTTGTTCTTGTTCCCATTCGTAGCAGATTCAACTAATTGTTTGAGCGAATTAACCTTTGCTTTATACACAGAAGTTATTAGGTAAGAACTAATAAGTGGGTTTCTAATGATATTATCTGGAACATAATACTTGAACTTGTGCCAGATCATTTCTTGAAGATAATGAAGTAAAGTCCTGACATCAACAACAGAATCACTCTTTGGTAACGTATCTGGTGTAGCCATTTTCAATGCATCCCGTTCGTCACCACTTTTGTTTCTCTTCTTACCTAATAAGTTCTGCGGATAAAGCAAAAGTCAATTCACTCAAGCAATTAGTTGAATCTCTTAATAATTGAGTTGTTTGAATACTAATGTGTGGTTCTTTTCCCATTCTGAAACTTTTCTGGGAAAGGGACATTTCAGTATTTTCTTTAACCATCACCATCTCATCTCATTTTCATTCCACAAGACCAACTTCGGCATTTCCAATTTCTCAATGTCTCATCCTCTGACTCATTCCAACCCATCCAATTCAATTTGTCTATTGTTCTCATTGTTAAGGTGCCAGCATTTCATAATTTTAATTGGGCTTGTTAATGATAAAATCCCAACACATCATAATTACACAATATTCTGCAACGGCATTCTATTTTTTGTGCAATCTATCAGTTTTGTATCAATCAACCATGTTTTAATACAACATCATTATGCTTCTGGTTCTAGACCACTTCAATAAATGTGATGATACTTGGTATACTCAATACAGGCACTGATTTCAATTCTTAATTCATTAAAAAGGATCCTTCAATACATCCTAGTAGATACCTCAATACTTCTTCGTAAATACGGCATGGATAACGTTCGTCAACGTATAATTTAATTTGATAAAATTTTTTCAATGCATCACCTATACGCGCCAGGCGATGTCCCTTGAAAATAATAATGACACAACGCAATTTCTATTCAATCTCGACAACAATGCCTCATGAATTCTAATCCTACTTTGAAAATTTTCATGGAATAATCTTATATTCACCTTCAATGTGGTAGTCAACGATATACTTCATAAATGCAAATTTGTGTTGGTAATGTAACGTTAGCATGTACCAACTGACCAAAAATCTAAATCAATCCGAGTTCCTGCTAGGGACTGATGGTAATTCCGGATTGTTAGTTTTGTTAACTTTTATTAACGAACAAGTTTAAATACTTGTGTTGTGTTCAGTAATTGAAATTAACGGGATTTATATTCTTCGATTGAACGATCTTATTGGTCTTGGCAATTAAAAGAATACGTAAATAATTATAGTTAAAGTTTTTAACAGTTATAATGATTTATTTAAATTATATTGAATACTTCATAAAAGAAAAGATATATATAAAAGATATAAATTACTCTTGAAACAATTTGGTAATTTATCTTCGAATTCTCTAAGAGAAAGTCTCCACGTGACTACACGTGACTTCTCAATTATTTTACAAACAACATCATCCCCTTTCTCTCCCTGGGGATTGATTCATTTCATCAACTATCTTCGTAAGCAACTTCTTCTCTACCTCTTGTAATGATCTCTTCCAATTACTTGCAGCTTGTATTGGACTATCTTCAAACATATAAGCTGGTCTTAACATATCACCATTATAAGTTCCCTTCTCTTCTCTTCCATTTTTGTTTCTTAAAGTATAAGCATCGTTTGAGTTTACTTTCACAATCTGATATGGTCCATCATAATCTGGGTCAGTCTTCTTCTTCTTTCTCTTCTTCTTTAGTACCCATTCTCCTTTAGCATATCCAGCTGGGATACCAAATGGTTTCTTCAACAAGTTCATCATAGTCATTCTTCTTTTCTTCAAGTCAGTGTTGATCTCTCTATCTTTGTTCATCATTTCAAGTTCATACAATCTAATCATTTGATTATCAATATCAGTGGCATTTGCTTCTTCAGAATTTCGTTGGTCATTATTCTCAGTTTGGAATTCCTGATACATTCGTTCTCCAAATTCATTCATTGGTGTCGTCTTTCCAATTGCTAAATACAATGGTGTTCGATTAAAGATTGATGGAGTTGAATTATATATGTTCACTGCATGTTCAAGGAAATCTGGCCAGTCTGTCATTGTTCCATTGGTCAAACCTTTCAATATCTTCTTCAAAAGACCATTTGCCTTTTCTACTCGCCCATTAGTCATTGGGTGGTAATTTGATGCAAGCTTGTGTTGGATATTTAATTGGTCACATAACGTCTTAATAGATTCATTCACAAAACTTGTTCCATTATCGGTGATTATTTCAGTAGGTTTGCCAAATATCTGATATATCCATTTAATGAGCCAATATACATGTACAGCTTCCATACTTGTTGTTGCCATAGCATACACCAATCCTGTGATATATTCAACTGCTACTAATACATATCGTTTACCTTGTTGTTCATTGAGGATTACAAAGTCTAGTCCCCATCTTTCAAATGCATGTAAAGGTTCCAATATATAAAGTTCTCTTTGCACTGTAGAAAAAGTGGAATGTGTTTGGCAGTATGGGCAATGATTGATGATATCAGTGGTGATTAACTTGTGATCAGGGTGCCATAAACTCATTTGCGATAAATAGTCTGTGACTCTTATTGATGGATGGTGAAGGTTGTGGATTTTTGTTGCATGATCTTTGTATTTCTCTCTACTTACAACATCAATTAATCTATTCTTAATGATGACTTTGAGTTCACCATTTACCAATTTAAACTCTTCGTATGGTAATTCTTCCTCTTCAGACACTTCTTTGGATTGTTCTTCAAAATGATTTTTGATATCTTCAATATTGTTGTCATTTAGATCATGGATTGATACTGTAAATATTGGTTTAGTTGTTTCAGCTTCATCAGCATAATCTTTAATGTTCATGGTTTGATATCTGGATAGGATGTCTGCTACATAGTTCTTTTTACCAGGAAGATATCTGATTTCAGGTGAATAAGCACCAAGTACATCAAGGAATCTTGCTATTCTCATTGGAGGGTTGCTTGTTTTGCTTTGAAGGATACTGAGTGACTGATGGTCTGTGAATACGATTATTTTTCCATTGCATATATAATTGAATTTCTTCAAAATAGTAATGATAGATAAAAGTTCCTTTTCCATGGCAGAGTACCTTTTCTGAGTTAGGTTTAATTTGAAAGAGGCAAAGCTGATTGGGAGGTAGTAGTTTCTATTTCCCTGTGTGTGTAGTTGGCAAATGACACCGCCCATGGCTTCATCAGAACAATCTGAGAAAACATAGGTTATTTGATCTGGTTTATAGGTTGCAAGTGTTGGTAGGTGGACTAAACATTTCTTGAGTTTGTTGAAAGCTTCAATGGATTGTGGATTATGATTGATTGGTTTTCTTTTCCCTTTGATATCTTTTAATAAGTCATTAAGTGGACCTGTCATTGACGACATATTTGGTATGAAATTTCTAAAAAAATTAGTGAAATTGACAATAGAACAAACTTCGGTGGTTGTACGTGGTATATTCCAATTCTGAATTGCTCTTATCTTATCTTCTGTTGGGGCTATTGCATTCTGAGCAATTTGATATCCAAGAAATTTCACTTGTCTTTGTATAAATTGAGTTTTGTCCATATTCATTTGTAGACCGTTTTGATTCAAAATTCTACATACTTGTTCAATAACCTGCTTGTGCAATTTCATTGTGGTTGTATGGATGAGAATGTCATCCATGTATGCAAAAACATTCTGCTTGGGTAATATTCTGTTTAAGAAACTAGAGAAAACAAATGGTGAATTCACTGCACCAAATGGCAATGTTGTAAAATTAAAATTTCCACATGGAGTTATAATTCCAAACTTCTTAGATGTTTCTTCATCAACAGCTATCTGATGATAGGCTGCCTTAAGATCAAATACAGAAAAATACTTCAGATTTTTCAATACATTGATTAAGTCTTTGAATGTTGGTAGATATACGGGTTGTTTGACGGTTTTGGCATTGATTCTTCTCAAATCCACTACTACTCTGTATTTCGTCTTCTGCTTCACTGTAAATATGGGACTCAACCAAGAGCCTGGGATTTCATCTACAAGGATTCCTGCTTTCTTCTTCTCAGTAATAAATTCTTCAATGACCTTTTGTTCTTCATGAGTGGCAAAATATGGGACCAGAAAAACTGGTATTTCATCTTCTGTTAGAATGTGGTATTTAAATGTTCTGTCCTTTGGTTTTCTATTCTCAGTTGAAAATAATTCAGGGTATTTGTTTATAAGTTGTGTTTTATAAGTTGAATTTGAATTTGTTGTTTGGGTTTTTGTAGTTTTAATTTGCATAGAATAAACTTCTTTTTTTTGGATTTTTTTATTTGGATAATTTGGCATAAGTAATATACATTTATTATTTGAAAGGCAAACTTTACTTCCTTCTTCATCAATAGAATATCTCCATTCTCTCAAGGTCTGCTCACCGATAAGTATTTGGTCTAAATCATGCACCAAATATACTTTCACTTTGGTATTTAGTGGTTCTGGCAATGTAATTTCAGTTTCATGTTCAATTGCTTGGGTTTCATCAAATGCAGCAATGGCTCTCATTGGTACTTTCACTTTCAATAGTTTGTAGCCTGTAAAATATTTCAATAGTTTATAATCCATAAAATTTGCTGCTGAACCAGAATCCAACTTAATCAGTACTTCTTTAATCTTATTGGTGGGCGTGCGTAGGCCTCGCGACTAAGTCAATTGCGAGATCTTTCACTTTCTCTTCATTGTCGATTTCATCCTGAAGTTCTTCTTCGTCTTCATCACTCCATTCAATTAAATCTTCCATATTTTGATAAGTCAAATCTTCCTCATCATCAACTGCAATTTCCACTTCATAGATTCTCTTTCCTTTACGTTTACCTTTATACCTTGGGTATTCATTGTTGTTTGATTTAATCTTCGACAAATTCTCCTTCTTATTCTCATCCTTCTCAAACTTCTTGGTTTTATTCTTATTTCTCCAATTGTTTTGGGGGTTGTCACACGTGCATGGTTTAAATTGAGACTTATATTTATTGCCATATTGATTTGATGAATATTTATTAATGTAGAACATTTCAAGATTTGGATCTACTTCACTTGTTTTAATCAGATCTGGGAATCTCTTTCCAAAGAAAGCAATTTCTAAATCTTCAAAAAATGTATCTTGTCTTGCATATTCTAAATCATATAATTCAATTTCAGCTGAAAAATATTGTTGCAACTTTCCCAAAATTATGTTACGAGTTGAGATAAAACTATTCGAATAAGATACTAATTGATCAGCTTGTTCTTCCAATTGATTGATGAATTCAGTGACTAGTTGACCTGGTTTTGGATTGATGTTAATCAATTCTTCTGTTGATTGCCTATTTCTAAATGGCAAGTTACAACATTTGGCGACCAAAAAAGACACATCTCTCCATTGGATCCCTTTACTTGGATCTTCTGGAAAACGTGCTTTGTTTCTATAGGATGTTTTCAAATCCCCAGTAAAATATGGACGAGCAAGTTTACCCCATTCATATTGATCAATTCTCATTGTTTCAAATTTTGATTGTAAATCAATTAATTTAGTCATGATATCTGGATCACGACGTCCTTTGATTTTCTCGTCCTCTGCGATAACATATGCTGCATTTGGAGTTGATTGAACATTCATATCCCTTTCAACCTTATTCATCTTAATTGTTGGTAAGAACCTTGCAATTAATAATTCTAAATTATCTCTGGATGAAACTCTGCTTGATTGAACAATAGTATTTGTGATTTGAGTTGGTTGTTGTTCAGGTTTGAGTGGTTGTGCTGCCTTTGCATGTTCAAGAGATGATAATCTATTATAAACGACATCAAATAATTTATTAATAGCTTGCATATTCTCTTGATAGTTTTCATGTTCAGTATTAACAAATTTCGATGCATCAATAAGGCCTGCTTCATTATGAAGACCTCTTGTGTGGTCTTCTTGTTCCTCTTTCTTCATTTCTGCCATTTCCTCTTCGACATGAACTGCTTCGTCTTCTAAGTTCGTAATTCTTGGTCGAACATTTGTATCAAAGTCATCTTTCAATTGGGCAGTGAAGTCCTTTAATGTCTTTGCAACGTTAGCATCCTGTTCACTCTGTCTTTGACGAACATCCTTAAGTTCTTGTTGGATATTTAAAAGTAATTGGTGGATATCAACAAGAGTTTGGGTGGGGGGTTGTTGGGTGGAGGGTTGTTGGGTGGAGGGTTGTTGGGTGGGGGGTTGTTGGGTG